CACGAAGGACTTGAAATGTTGCTGTTTTTATATATACATATTTTTTTTTGCAATTTATAAAATTTTAAAGTACATAACGCGCTGGCGTTGGCGAGGCGCTACCACGCCCACACGTTGACTAGCTAATGAGCTTGTCTGAGTGTGTGCGCATCTCTGTCTCTGTTGTGTGTGTGTTTGTACCGCATGACGTATGCGCAATTTTCATTTATGTTCCGTTTGCTCAACTGTCTGTCAGTCTGTCAGTCTCTTGGCTAGTTGCAGCCCGCAACACGCACAAACTTGATCCCCAACAGCAACAAACACAAAACCACAATAACAACAACAATAGCCACAACAACAACTATCAACAGAGCCAGGCTAAGCTAAGCCAAGGAGCTGTGCCAGGAAACTGTTTTATTGGCTGGCTGCGTTGGTCCTTTGGCGCTTGAAAATACTTTCATTTTTATGCCCTATGCGGAGGGTATTATGATTATGTGACAAAATGTGTAACACATGAGGCATACATCAATATAATATAAATAATATATACAAATGCTGTACTGATTGATTGATAGGTGATTAACGAACAGTGGTGAATTCCTCCCATAAATGTGGAAAATTGGTGGAAAGCGATTATATACAACCTTTTTGTTTACTTTTGACAGGCGATATGCTTCAAAAATCGCGACATGTTTCTCACTTTTTGGAAAATTGGACCTACCTAAGTGAAGATAGAGGTCAAGGGTTGCATGAGCGAATTTGCGGCCAGCCTATTTTTAATTTGAATTTTCAATTATAAAAATATCCAAAATTGTTAATTGCATTTTTGGTTTTTCAGCCTAACACCATAGCTTAGCTTCGATGTTTATTGTCCGAAGTCCAAATTCTTTTTAATACTTTTTTATTATTCAAATTCGGTCTCGGTCTAAGCTTTGCTGTTTATTGTCCGATCTTTTTGAAATTTTTGGACCAGAGGGGCGACTTTTCGATGATTTATGAATAAACTCTAGGAGGATTAATGTGGAAAGTTTCAGGTATCAGCTCTTAAAGTCTCTGGAATGGAAGAGTACGAAAAGCACAGACCCACGAATGGACCTGGCTATAGCGACTGTTAATGCTGACCTAGATAATATATATATCAATCTGGACTTGTTTCATACATTTAAACAAAACCATTATAGCCTTTTTAGTCCACGTCTATGGACGCAGGGTATATTTGTTATACAGCATGTATATTAGAGTATTTAATCACAGGCTTGCCTTAGATAGTTGTTTCCTTGTTTTTATTGTTTTTTTCGCCTTTGTAGCTCATGAATAATGCATTCACAATTAAGCCCGTCGGGGCCAGCGAAGTAACCCAAAATCTGCTGGACTTTTATGTCTTTTGCGTTCACTTCATGCAGCTAACTGATGTTGTTGTTATTATTTCAATTAAAGTTGTTTTGTTTTTAGCAGGAACTTGTCTAAATTTAGCAACAAACGCAGCTAACTGACACAGAAAGCAATACAAGGGAGAGCTCTCTAATTGAGAGTGCTCGCTGGGCGATGCCCTGTAGCGATTAGTAGCTGCGAGTTGTCAATACAAATATTAAAAATGCCTTGCCTCAGTTCAAAACTATGGAAAATTCATTCTTAAATAACTTCTTTGCTGATTATCCGATCATTATGCAATTTGCAGTACTTTAACAGGTCTTTCAAATGTGTGCATGTGCCAAAAATAAAGAATTTATCTTTCATTTTGGGGGAAGGTATCCAAAAAGTGAAATGTTCTTGGCCAAATTTACCAGACGCTGCGTCCTAAACGTTAAGGACATAGCCGTAAAAACTTTCTGAGGTGTGTTCAATAACTCAAAATGGAAATATTGATCGATATTAAGAAAATAGGATAAGTTATCGGAAGAAAACGATAAACTTTTTCAGGTACATCACGAGAATATACTATATATCACAGTGTCCGGCCAAATAATCTCCGAGATATGCTCAAGAAACGGCAACTGGAAATTGATATTTATCGAACTTTGGAAAATAGGGGATTTACAGCAAAATAAATAAGCTTGTTCTGCGTTTGAGATACGAGAAACTATATTTCAGATTTAATTTCTTCGGGATTGAGTTGATTGAGATTGAAAATCGATATTTATCGAACTTTGGAAAAAGGGAGATTTATCGAAAAATAAATAGGGCTGAGACTGAAATTGAGTGGAGATCGATAGTTCCGATCAAGAATATATATACAAAGGATCTGCCCTGTTCTGTCTTCTACATACACTTGCACAATTTCGAAATACCCCTTTTACCCAATTTGAATGGGCACATGCATAACAAACAAAGCCCAATCCAAACTAAAATATTCTAAAGCATCCACAAATTAAACTCGGCCCCCCTCTGACGCACGCATCGCCCTCCCCGAAATGCAGTGTTGTTTTTAAAGATCAAAGTTTAAACTCATAAAACGGCGCTTTGTGCTTTTCCAGCGAACAGAATCCACAAAACTAACTAACTAAAATTAACTTTGCGTTGCAATCAGAGTTTCAGCATTTGCTTTGGGTCTGCTTTTGAATTGGGTTTGGAGTCCGGCCGTGGATGAGAGCACTTCACAGAAGATTTTGCTGCCAACAGTTGTGCAACTCCTGCGGCGTGTTGGTAAATATAATTTAAAGCCAAGTTGTGTTGACACTTGGCCAGCGACAGCCGCTGCTCCCCTGTCAGGCGCCGTAGTCATTGCAACGGACACACTTCAGTTTCGCTAAGCATGACTTGACCAGCTCCCACTTAATAGTTCAGGTATGAGAAGCAGCAGAAATATGATAAGCACGTTCCCTAAACCCACACATCAAATACCAAAGAAAGTATCTGTGGCCCTAATAAAAAACATGAATAATTCAGCGAATGAAATGAAGCACAAAGCGATTTTTGATAAACTTGTGAAGAGCTCAACAAATCCTTTAATCAGAAGAAGTCGTAATCCTCCAACCAATCCATGGGTTGAAGGATGCTTCAAAAGAGATCCAAAGTATCCCAAAGGTCAAAGTGCGCAACAACACGAGAAGAGCTTTCAGCACTTTCATGAGATAATTGGAATTGAGCAGAACGCGCTTTTAAGCAGCTGAACTTCGCAGAGTATTTACGAGTTTTGGAATATTCCACGAGCAGGACTGGAAAATTTGTGGAAAATGTTTGCAATTTATTTATTATATTTTTTTTCATTCGGTCGGGCTTATATTTTTTAAAATTAGGTAGAAAATGGTTGTTTGTATATCATACGTAAGGGTGGAAAATAGTTGCATATAGTTTGCATTTATTTTCAATTAAGTGGAAAATGGTTGCATGGAGTTTTGAAAATTTCACGAGCAAGGGTGGAAAATTAGTGGAAATTGGAAATTTGGTTTCATTCGATCGTTTTTAAATCAAATTTTTAAATTCCCACGCGCAAGAGAAGTAAATTAGTGGAAAATGGGTGCATTTTAGAAAAACTTGTGACAAATGGAATGGTTTCATTTTTGCATAATGTATTTCGTTCGATTAGCTCTATATTTACATTCAATTAACTAGAAAATAGTTTCATGTAATTTCAAGGGTGGATAATTCATGCAATTCTTTTGGGTTTTCATACGATGAGCTGTAAATATATTTTCTTTTGTGTGGAAAATGGTTGTATGTACTTTTAAAAACTCCACAAACAAGGGTGGAGAATGATTGCACTTTAGATTCTGTATTTATTTTGTATGATCGGTTTTAAATTTATTTTCAATTATGTGGAAAACGGTTGCATGGAATTTTAAATATTCCACGCGCGAGGGTAGAAAATAAGTGCATAAAGGTTGCATACAAGTTTATTTATTGTTTTGCATTCGCTATGCTGTAAATTTATTGTAATTTTATTTTTCAAATAAGAGTTAAATGGTTTTATGTTATTGTAATTTGATTTTCATGCAATCGGCTTTAAATTTTATTTTATAAAAACAATTTATAAATGCAATGTTTCACACCTATTAGTTATTCGACCGCCCTTTAAGCTGAGAAGGGAAACTGTTGCGGCCAATAATTTGAGTTTGATTGGATTGACATCAAATTCATTTTAAAATATATTTGTCAAATGTTATTTGATGCAATGGAAATGGGGCTTCCAGTTAGTACGGCAAATTGAAATCCCAAGAACTAAAATTGATTTGAAAAGTGAACAATTTGAAAGAAAAACACGTTAGGACCAAGCCGAATAATACATGCCTGTGTGGTTCCTAGAAAAATAATCATTTTATATTCCCAGCAAATGAAAATACCAATTTCTAATACAAAATATTAAGCAGAATTAAAAACAAGCGAATGGATTGGAAAATTAGCTCAACAAGTTTGTTTGAAATTTAAAAATATTACGGCATTTAGCCCTTAAAATCCATAGCTGAGCATAGACTGTTAAAAATCCATTCCAATGAATTCCTGTAAATTAAGACTTTTATGATAGAATTTCTAAATTATGTTTGGTCTTCTCATTGGGTAGGAACATGTAATACGCTTGTTAATCTGCAGCATGAAGCGCTGCTAATTAGTTAAGTTCATTTGCGGGCGGAACTCACGTGTTTTGAGGCTATCAACTGGGGCAGGAGGTTAGTTAGGGGGCAGCCATGAATAGCGATTCCTGGCCGCGTGTGTCTTCATTTGCGGCAGGGCAAGAACCAAATGAAGATAAATGCGGGCACTCGAGTGTGGCGCGGTTGTGTCATCGGAAGCCGGAAAATCTCACGTACTCACACATGGCCGGCAATTAGGTGGACACACGTGCAAGGTGCACGCATCGCAGCTGCCACCGCTGCCACCGCTGCCACCGCTGCCACGGCTGCCATGGCTGCCAGGGGCTGTGGCAAGAATCAACTTTGCGGCAGCGATGAAATTAACTAATTGCCATAGCGTTGGCAGCGAAGGGGAGCGAGTTGACAAGCTGACAGACATGGCCAGCAGCTATGTACATAGATAGAGAGTGTGCCTCGAGCGTGTTGCAAGTGCCACATAAATTACATACGCACCTTTCCCAGGACAAGCGACGCGGCGCCTCCTCGCCCAGGCCCAGCTCCGTATTCCTATTGCCCTGTGGGGCCTCCATAAAGAAATTGTCGCCGTGCAACATCGGCGGTGGCGGCAGCAGATTGGATCTTGATTGATGCAGCAATTTGGCCAGCCGCGTGAAGGTCGTATGCCCGCCACCCGAGCCGCTGCTGCTCTCCGCCATGGCAAACTCGTGCAGATGCTGGTGCGGATGCTGGTGCTCCCTGGACAGCGGTGTTGTTGCCTCCGAGCATGCGGTGGCACGTTTTTTGCCCCCCAGGCGATGTGAATAGCCGCGCGACGGCGCCACGGGATGCGGCGCGGGTATTCTGTGGCAAATTGTAAAGTCAAGTGATTATATAATACGGCTACAGGCGCGCAGACAGACAGGCAGATAGTTGCCCATATGTCACGTATGTGTAAACAGTGAGGGAAATCATTGAGTAGGATGCACATAAGTAAATAATGCTGAGAGCAAAAACTATTTGGAGAAGTGCCATAAAATAGTAAGTTATTAATTAATTAGTTTTAATTATTTTTTATACGGTAGCGAGGATTTCCCAAAGACTGTATAAAAATAATAATAAAATTTAATAATTGTAATAATAATAAGAAAAATAAAAATAATAATAATAATAAAAATTGATAATAATAATAGTAATAACAATTTATATAACAATTTATATTAATAATAATACTAATAAGAATAAAAATACTAAAAGCAATAATAATAATAATAATACTTATAATAATAATGGTAATAATAATAATAATAATAATGCTAATAATGATAATGGTAATAATAAAAATATTGATTTTCTATTATATTTTCCTTTTTAATTTTTTCGAAGTTGAAATTTGTATAATATTTAGAAAGTTTGATATTGCGAAGTTAGTAAGTACAATCTGTTCCCCAATTAAGAGCTTATTTAATTTTTATATAATTTTTTATTTGTTTTTAATATTTATATTTCCATAACTACTATTTCTCTCGGTCAATATCTATGGGGTTCATTAATACAAGGCTTCACTGTATAAGTAGCCTTAACTATTTCTCTCAGTGCAAAAGACGCGAATCTGCTTTAGACCTACCTGAGTAGAAGCGAACCATCCGCATGGCACTCGAAATCATCGGACAGCTGATACATCGAACTATCGGCAACATGTTGCTGATATAGATGCAAATGTTGCTGTTGCATTGCTGTATGTGCAGCATGTGCGTGTGGCGAGCTGCCCGACGATTTGCGACGGTAAATCAGCGTGCAATCATCCTTTGGCAAATTCAATGATTTCACCATGAGCGTGTTGTTGTTGTTGTTGGTCAAATTGGTATTGTTGTTGTTGTGGCTGCTGCTGCTGCTGCCACCGCTGCCACCGCCGCCAGCGCCACCCGCGCCTCGTGTGAGCAGAGACCAGCGATGGCCACTGGCGCTGCCGCTGCGGCTTTTGCAGTCTGTGGGCGAAAATTTTGGATATAACAAATATTATTTCTGACTTTATGAAAGATATAAAATGTGTGATTTTGTATGTTTGTGTGTCTGTGTGTGTGCTGCATTTCAGCTGCGCTTTCCAAATTTATTCAATTTAAATTCAAGCTGAAAACTTGTCGAAATGTTTTAATTAATTTGCGCACACATGACAGCATATTATGCCCAGACCCGGCCACGCTCCTAAATGTTAGCCACCCATGCCAGAGCCGATTGCAGCTCGCCATCTTGAGGTTGAGTGGCTCGGACCACGCCCACATGCCTATGTAAGCACTCAACGTTTGAATCAGCAAAAATCTATAGTATACTTTTCAGCGCAGCAAATAATATATTTATGGCAAATTTATTATAGCGGGTGGTGTGCATGTGTGTGTGTTTTTTGTGTGTTATTTTTGATGTCGTGCGTGCATATCGTATCCATAAATAAAATCCCGACACTCAGATTTAGATGACAGCCACACGTGCTCCATAACCTTAACTCTCGCATATCTAACCCGAACCCAGGCTCTTATTTATCTTTTTTGTTTGATTTGACCTGTTCAGGTGCCAGCGGAGTGCTGGTTGTTTATTTACAAAATATTCACAATCCGTGCGGTCGTTCGGCACATCTGATATTTGCATATCCGCACAGTTGATATTAAAGTAAATGATTCCCTGTGCTTTATGTGGAAACACACTGAAGCTTACAGATAAAACACGATTTATGTAAATTAAAACAGGATTTGACATTGTTGATTGCTCGACCCTACGGCCAATAAGTATTAATATTTAAAAAAGAAATTATGAAATATATGAACAGAGAATCTAGGGCACAACAAGCAGGACTTAACTGGTATTAAACTTATTTTCTGTTTGGTTTTGAAACAGTTATAGAAATTGGAAAAGAAATTTATTAGGTTTACCTGGAATCTTACTGGCCAAAATTTTCGGCAAAACAGAAAATCAGCGAAACTCTTAATGTTGATTTTGATACTCATTTGCATCGCGTCCGATTAAACAATTACGTTTTGTGATAATAAAGTTTCAAATCATTATTCTTTTCAAAATAAGTAAATATTTTGCCGAAAATATGCCAAATAAAAGTAATTTTAAAATATAATTTATCTTATGACTATATCATATAGCTCACATAGGAACGATCGGTCAAAAAGCAGACTCTTGTATGGAAAAACTTTTTGTGTATCAAGATATCTTGACCAAGCTCGGCATTTATGCGTTTTACTATGCTCCCTTCATATATGCAAAATCTTATCAACATCAGACGAGTATACCATATAGCTGCCATCGGAACGATCGGTCGAAAGGTAGGTGCTTGTATGGCAAAATATTCTTTTTTTCTAACATATTTTTATCAAATTCAGCATTTACGAACGTCACTTTTCTCACATATCTGCAAAGCTGTAGAGAAAATGTAGCAAATCAAGGGTAGCAAATCTTCGGCGCCGTTTACATTCACGTTAATATTGGAATTTATGGAAATGCCGACATCCAAAACCGATTAAAACTTCAAAATTTAAAAAAAATTAGACAAAATTTAATTTTAAAAATTATCGAAACTTTTGCACGTTGTATCAATTTAGGCGACAAGTAATGATCAAAGTGGAATCAATTATAAAATTGGTTTAGACTTGACAATTTGATTTTATATAAAATATAGGCTAAAATGGGCACTCACTGAGGACTTTAAAGGATTACAAATAAAACTATTTGTTAAGAATTCCAACAAAAAATATATAAAAATAATTCATTACTACAATAGAATAATATTGATAGTTGCAGAATCTATCTCGGGCTTTTGGCAAGTCAGGAATAATGTTTTTCATAAGTATCTGTTGGCTTTGAACAAAATTAACAAAGAAAGGTCCTGGCTCTAATATGTTTCTGCAGCCTGCTTGTGTGCCAAAACATTATCAGCTCATATGCAGAGTCCTAATTTGTAGCTAATTGGGGTTTGCTTTGCTAGGCTTATGCCATAATGTTGTCAGAATCTAATAAGGGAAAATATCTTAGCTTGGGAATGCACTTTTTATTTCAATATCTCTTTTTTTGAGGTTTAAAATGTGAATAATTGCACTCAAACTAGCAAATGTTGTGCCAACAAGACATAACGTTTTGTATTTGTATTTATTTTGTGCCTAACTTGGATGAAGTTTTTCTTATTTTCTTAAAAATGCTTGACTACACAAAGGCGAACTTCGCATCGCTATCAACTTTCTATGGTTCGGGTTAGACCCAACTAGTCAACGACTAAACTCTTAACTGCTTTGGGTCCCTTTTACCTAAACCAATTTAATATTAGAATAAATTAATAAAATTTAAAAATACAGATATTATTTGAGCACAAGCCTAGTTCGTGCTTAATTCAACAATATTGAAGAGCGAAACGTGCTGCAAATTTTATTTAATTAATACGTATTTTAAGTTTAGTTTTAAGCCTGACCCGTTTTAAAAAATTCAAGCAAGCGAGACACCTGCTCAAGAAAGACAAAGCTTTTCGCTGAGTGTATGAAATGAGAAATCCTGTTGGCAGCTGGCCGCTAGTTACTTATAGATACATGTGCGTGTGTGATATGTTAATATATATGTATATTGTTATAAACCGTTACGTACCCAAATGAAATGTTTGTTTATCTGTGTGGAGCGAGACAACCGGAAGTCCTGGCACAATGATGGCGGGCAGGGTGCGCGACCGTAACAATGGCGGCGGCAATTTACGGCTGCCGCTGCGTGATTGTTGGCCGCTGCCCCCAACGCAGCTGGCCGCGCCGCTGCCGCCGGCGCACTGCTGCTGTGCCCTGCAAAGAGAAAGAGAGAGGGGAGCGTGAATGCGAGTGAAATAATAAGTTAATGCAATTATTTATTGAAGGCAACTGAGGCAGCAGCAAGCAAATGCAATTACTTTGGGGGCAGTGAGTAGTAAGAAGAGAGAACATTCCCATATCCCCCCTTCCCTTTTATACCACTCAGCACCATTGGAATTTCATTTCCGTTACATTTGCATGATGCTGCTGCTGCGTGCGCGGGAAGGGTGGGGAGAGTGGGGTATGCGGTTCTGTCAGCTGAGAATTACATTTGATTGTTAGCAGCAAAATGATTTTTCTAGCATTCGCCCCTTACGCCATATGCCACGCCCATGCGGCACGTTTGTGTGCATAGTAAATGCGCAAAGCTGTCAGCGACACGAGGCCTTCTGGCCTCACCCCCACACGCCCCTCGACGCTTTCCCAGTTGAATGCTGTCACCCCTTTCACAAATTGCTCAACTTGACGTATGATTGAATTTCTGGCATTCGATGCTGCTGCTGCCGCTGTCGCTGTAGCTATCGACGTCAGCAGCGCTGCCTCCCAAGTGTCAGCTGAGAGTGCTGTGGCATGCTGCTGACACGCCTACAACGCCCACTGCCAACACATATGCATACCCTTTGGCCTGCCTGCAATTGCGTATACTATTAACTTACATTTATCTTATGATACCCATTGATTATAATTAAAAAATAGGTTCTAATGAACATGTCTATATGTTTGACATTAGCATAAAGTAGCATTTCCAATCGAATATATATATTCCTGATCAGGAATCATTGAGTTCAAATAGACGTGTCTGTCAGTTTGTCTTTATGAATTCAGAAGTGAATGTAGCTTAACGCAAGGTTACTTTACGATATATTTCCCAATTGACCAAAATCGATAAACACCGATTTCCAGTCGATAGTTTTTTTTGGCTTATTTAAGCGTAAAGTACATAATACGCAAGACAACTTTATATCGACATATTTGCTTTTTAAGATCTAATTTTTCCTATTTTTAATTCCTCACCGCGTCTCTCCAACAACAAACCCTTTTCGTTTTTGCTCTACGCTCTCTGCCTCCCTCAATTTTACTCGCAAAAAAAGATGACATTTGGCAAAGGCATCCGACAATCTCCGGGCGCTCAAAATAAAGTCCTGCATATCCTGCAGACACACAGATGAGCTTGTGTGTAAGCAAACAGAGCCCTTTATATATGTTGGCTGTATCAAAAGTTGGCAGCCAGCTCCCTAAGAAGCGAACACGAATTGTGCGCATTATTGATGATTGAGTACATCACAAAAAACCAACAAAAATAGAAAAAGCGAATGTTTCTACACTAGTTGGGAGTGCCCGACTTGGAAGTCCCCCTATTCTAGCTTTCTTCTATGCATAAACATAAAAGGAAAAGATATCCAAATAGTGAAATATTCTAGATTTTATACTGTAATCTCCTATATTCCATATTCTCTCTCATTCCATATTCTCGCTCTTTAGATCTCCGAAAAATTTAGATATCGATTTTGATCGGGCTAGTTATGGAAGGAAGGATCCACATTTAAGAATTCAGGTCCCTAGATCTTATAGACAGACAGACCAGAGGCCATGGACAGTTTGACTGTGCTGTTTATGCTGATAATATATATATGCTTAATGGGTTCGGTGTTGTCTTCTTATGCCTGTTACATACATTTCTACAAGTCCAGTATATCCTTTTCAGGGTATAAAACGAAAAAAAAAGTTTGACGGCCACCCGCTGGCTCGAGGCAGCTGCACGGCTTTAAGTGGCGCCCCAGTGCGGCGGCAGCTCTATTGCAAGCTCTTGTGCTGCATGCCGCTCAACCTCCACCAATTCCCCCGTCCTCACCCTTGGCACTGCATAAAGTTACAGTCGCATTTTTTGTCCTGTTAGCAATTTATGTTCGTCCTTGTCACAGCAGCAGCGGAAACAAAAAATTCCAAATAACTGCTGCAGCACACACACACACACACGCACAGGCAGCACACAGAACAAACAGCACACACAACACATAATAAATAAATGGTATTGTTAAGAGAAATACCTTAGAGCGCCCAGCTTAAGCTTGGGCGGCTTTTGTTTATGGCCATATTATTTGGGTGCGAGCGTGGCAAAGTTCAAGTGCGTTAAGCGCAGTCTCCCATTACGCTCAATAAGTCAGGATCGAATAGAGTCCCCTCTCTACCCCTCCACACACTAAGGGCACACTTAGACAAGCTGTTATGTGGCGGCAGCTGTGCCAACTTTTAGCTGCCAAAAAAGATAGGTCGAAGCTAGGCTAAAAACTGGCTGAAACAAGCTTGTTTATTCATTGCAAAATTTAAATACCATCTGCAAGAGAAAAAAAAAGCTGCTTTTAAATTTCGTCCAGCATTTTGATTTTTTAAATAGTCCTTTTTTTTTGGCGGGAAACTAGCCAAACGGGCAACACGGCGTGGCACAGCAGGCGGCACCTCGCAAAGGCCAGGAAGTTAGGCAGCCCATCAGGCATCAGGTCGTCGTCAGGTTTTCGGTGCCTGCTTTTGGTAGGCTGCTCATTTACTTTGCCTTTTCAGCTGGTTAAACGTGTGGCGCCCAAAGCCACCGCCCCGTGCCACACGGCCGTGCGCCAGTCGGCGCATAACTCAAGGCGGATCTACATAATTGACTCGCAGCCGTAACCCGTACATTACCCAACAACAACAACAACAACAACAACGACGACAATAACGAGCACTTGGCACCTTCTTGCGATATAAAGAAACAAAGTTAACAAGTTCCTCAAATTACCGTAAAATACTTTAAGAATAATGCGACATAAAAGTTTATATATGTTCATTTGATAATGGAAAGACAGCCCACAGACTAAAACCGGAAGTGTATTTGTGGTGGGTGATGGGTCTTCGGCTACGCTAAGCAAGCGACTAACTTATGCTCTGCGAACCTGCCTAAAACTAGGACTGCAACCAAAGACGAGGGTCACTGATTCGGTCGAGTCCGGAAAAACTTTTAGTTATTTTTTACTGAGACCCACCTTAAGCCGAATGAGTTGCCAAATATATAACCAAGCGAAAACTTAACTTAAAAAGATATTATATTGAAATAATTTAACGAACCACAGTTCGAACCTGCGTTCAAGCATGTTGAGAACCAGTTGCGTGAACCAAACGAGTCGCTGGTTCAAAACTTTAACCGAATTACGAAAAGATTTTATATTGTTGGTCGTAACAGCCAATTGTAAAACCCAGATAATAAGAGCCAAACAACCTTAAGCATCCTCTTATATGAGTCTTTGCTAATATCCCTAGTCGCTAATGCGTTGTGAAATTCTGATTTATGTCTATTATTATGCATGAAGTAATATAAAAAAATGTGCACTCATCCATTTTCATTCCGTTGCCCGGCGGGCATTAGAATGAGATGAAGCCAATTTATTTAAAAATAAAAAAATGCAAAAAAATCTCGAGTCTCAAATGAGAATCGTAAAATATGTACAGCGAAAAGGTCAAGGACTTTATAAAAATGTCAGACATAGTTAGCTGCCTAGTCTTTTCACATAGTCAAATAAAGTTTTCTTTTATTTTCATAATTATTTTTTTTTTACTTTTTCTGCACTAGAATTTTCAGTTGTTTATCACCCTGCAATACAACTCGATTAAAACCATCTACAACATCAGAGCAAAGTTTTAAAGTGGTCAACCTTTGGGCCGGTAAAGTTTTGCCAGGACTCGCACACACACACACATATACATATATATATATAAAGGGCACGCCACAAAAAAGGGCGAGCTATGGACGTATGCTAAATAACGTATACGCACTGTGTGCTCTCTAATCTAGCTTGTGTGTGTGTATGTGCGCGCGTGTGTGTGTGTGTGTGTGGCGGCTGTGTAATTGCATTTGGAGCTGTGTTTACATGCGCGTGCATAATTAGAGCAAATGTTGCCCATGTAATCAAATCAACAAGAGCAGCAGCAGCAGCAGGAAATGCAGGGGGGACAAGAAAACGTTGAGAGAGACTAGGGAATACTCTCCAATTGGTTGCGCAGCAGACATTCGTATTTACCTTAATACCGAATTTGGTGTCTCTAGCTTTCCTAATATTCGAGCAGTGCCTAATTTCCAGACCAATATCGATATTTATCGATTTGAAAGAAATTGGGTTGGTTATCGAAAACACGGATAGGCCTGTCGATGATGCACAAGTATTGGCATGTTAAATTTTTGCTGTAACTAACCGTTATTATCTTCGATATATGCTAAATAGTGGCGAAATCAATATTTACTGATTTTGATACAGTATGTGATAGATCAAATCACAGTAAAGCTTGTTGTGCCTATCATATACAAAAAGTGCATGCAAATGTAAAGCTTCTCTCATACAGACAGACATCGTCCTAAACAGGGAAGCTATACTTTTTATACTTATTTATATATTTGTTTAGTTATACCCTCTTTTACGCATGTTTTTTTAATGGCTACAGGGTATAAAAAGGCAGCCAAAAACTGTTGGCTGGCTGCGCTGCCAACCTCTTGTTAACTCTTTGGCACGCAGTTTGTTGCTTTGATGCCAAAGCCACGCCCATTTCGTACTTTACTTGAGTTCGGCTCAAGTTTTATAATGAAATTAAGTGGCGTCGCATCGGCTGATAAGATGGAGAAGCTTGTGGGTCGTGGGTATGGCAGGGGCAGGGGCAGGGCGTGCCGCATTAATGACTTTGCCGAAACTTTAAGTCGCGCCCAGCCGTTGTTTCAGCTTCACATTTGCCGGATTTTTGTTGCGCCTAATTGAGTTTACTGCTACAACAGTTCTTTATTGTGACCACGCCTCTCCTTCTATACCGCCCACATCCCTACAAGTGCCAGTCGCTGAGCATGTGAATGTTCCAGCATAAAAAGCATTTTCATTACGGCAAATGCAGCGAGGCAAAAAAATTTCAAAAATTCGCTATAAAGCAAATGTGAAGCATCAGAGAATATAGAAGAAATAGAGAGGGAGTGATGGAGAGAGAGAGGAGGGGGGGGGAGAATGGGGGCAGCACGAGACAACGCCGGAAAGTGTGCAAAATATTGCAAGTGCTGCTTTTTGGAGCGTTCTAAGTTTCATACACAGCAAAAAAAATGCTTGTAAAATGGTAAATTGAAAACATTTTTGTAATTAAATTTAGGTTACAAATTTAGCTCAACATACTAGACTTGGCCGCATCAAATTGACAACAAAATTGGAATAAACATTCTTGCACTCGCAATTTGATATTATTCTTCGTTTTTAGGCTAAATAAAAGTAAAAGTCTCTCTAGCTCTAAGACTGTAAAATATATATTTCACTGGCGATTTTCTGGTTTGATTCTCGGTGCAATATAAAAAGTTTTTCAAGTTTTTCTTTGATTTTAGTTTGAGCGCAATGTAACAAACAAAGTAGTGAGCGAATCGGGTATGGACTGAATCGAAATGTTTTGAGAGAATACGTCCGCCCAAGAGGGGTGAACGCGTAATGGTAGTGTCCGTTGGGAGAGGATTTGCAGTATAAAAATGTTAAATAAACAAACAACAAATAATTAACCATTGAGACCATTGTTTTTTTTTTTTCAATTATGGTTCGCCTCAGCTTAAGTTCTGATTCCTCTTTAGTAAGCTTATCCTGCTTAGGGTTCGGATAATTATAAATAAATGATGGAAATTCCGGGCTAAAGCCAGTTCGGTTAAAAAAAGGTTTGGAGTTCTGGCACTTTAGTTTGTATTTCATTTTCTGCATTTTCTGCGAACTTGATTTCACTTTCACACTAATTATGTAAAATCAGTTTGGAAATAGTTTTGAGTTGAAATCAAATTTTTTTACAGTGTGTTCATGTATGTACTGAAGTGAGCAATGGATGCGTTGGTTGCCCGCAGCAGCAGCTGTTTTTGCTGCAACTGCAACAGCATTTGCAGCTTTGTCTTGCGCTTGCCACAAGCTGCTTAGCAAACATTTTGGGCGACAGGCACCTAAAGGAATCCGCTTCTAACAGCAATTGGGCGTACGCCCTTCAAGTGCCCCGTGGCAGCTGAACGTTGCCTCAAACAGCAGCTTCAGCTGCCACACAAGACACACAACGACGGCGCTGAGTGCGTGGTGCAGGTGATTGCCGTTGCAATATCCGTTTAAATCCAGCGATTGGCAACGGCAATCAAGGATTGCAAATAGAAGACTTTAAGTAGACGAATTCCTGTCTGAGCTGAATCCAAATAGCATAAAATACGTGCAATGCCATTTCGTTTTGAGTATATAAAATGCATTAAATAGATATAGTATATACCAAGAGTCTGTGCGGTAGATTGGATCAGGTTAGGTTGAGGCGGTTATCTATCTACATTTACTACCTTTTCCATTTGCCGACGCATTTAATGCAGTGCAGAAATCTGCAAGCCAACGTGATTAACTTTTAACGCAAAATAAATCCACTATTTTGTATCCAAGTGTAACCAAGCTCGATTACTTTAAAAATCCAATTACAACTAGTTATTTAGTCATTTAATATCGAAAATCGTTATCAAACACATATAAAGCATCTAATAAATATATCGTACCAGCCGTCAAGTCTGGCGATTTTAACAGGCCGCTTAATGCGAGCAGCGGACATTTATTATACAGCTGCGTTCATCTTCAGACATAATTTATGATTGCCGAGTCAGAGATAAAGATTGCCATAAAATAGAAGATGTCTGATTAAAAGCAGAGATTAAAAGACTGCGCTCATAAATATCTCAACCATGCATATATTCTTTTCTACATATACTGGCAAATTATATATTTTTCAGTTAACGCTTTTCATAAAAACATTCTGATTTCACTTAAAAAACAAGCGCTGTTTTTTAAGCCACTTTTTTCACTAAAACTTGCTTCTCATATAAAACAGAATATCGATAGCATACTTATATGTTCTAGTTGTCAATAACATAGCATAACATTGCATGGCATAACATCACGTAACGTTACTTAACTAACATAACGTAAGCCCTTTCACCCGCACTCTATAGCCGGTCATAACCAAGCTTAACTGCTTTTTAAACTCGTTAAGCGAAAATACTTTTTAATTGCTGCAAATCCTTTATCCTTGTAGGACCAAGCTATGTGTGTAGGCTGTTGTTAGCTATAAGTAAGCAAAAACTGAAAAGGCGCTACAGCAGATGCGATAAATTCAATATACTTGGATTTGAGCGGCTTAATAAGGAAAATCCTTGTAAAGTCCCAAGTTGCGCAACGGAAGGACTAAGCAAAAGGCGCTGAGCCAAATGCAATGCGAGCAAAACATAAAATGAAAAGCAAATTTCAAACTTCCAGCTAGAAAGGCACAAGGTGGACATGAACGGGGTAATGTCAGTGAGTGCGGTAGGGGAGGGAGGAGGTTTCTACTTACTGTCGGTCCTTGCGCTGCTGTCGCTTCTTCTTGAACGCCTTTTTCACGCGCAGCAGGAGAAATGCGGCACGATCCACGGACAGGGTGGTGGAGCTCTTCTTTGTGGCCGAAGTTGCAGCGCCAACATCCTCCATGGTGCGGTTTAGTTTTTCGTGTCGTTAAATCGACGCTGCAGTAGCTGTTGTTGTTGTTGTTATTGTGTGGCTGTTTTATCGTGTTTTTAAGTTGAAATGTCAATGGACGCTGGTGTTGAGAGCTTAAGCAGCAGCCAGCAGCGCGCTGACGTCACAAACACAGTGGCGGCGGTCTCTGCTGGCAGCGTTGCCAGCGCAGGCCGCTATTACCGCTGACATTTGTATGCGTTTTGCGTTGTTGTTCTTGCTGTTGTTGTTGACGCTTTGGCTTTCAGCTTGCTTCCTGTGCGTGCTGTCTGCTGCTGTTGTTGGTGTTGTTGTTGCTTATGTTGTTCTCGTTTTATGTTTTCTTTGTATTGCTACACTTTCTTTTTATTATTTGTACTATTATCTTATGCCATGTGCGTTGTCTGGCGTAACATTATATTTATATATAAGTACATACACATACATACACGGGGCACGTGCCCTTGTCACACATACTCCCCACACCCAAAATATCCCACTCCTTGCCGTTTAGGTATGCTAAGCAAATAATATTTTGTCTGCTTGTCGCAATGGGGCAAACAACAAACAGCAAGCAGACACACACAGCCAAACATCCTCACACACACGCACACATACACGCACGCCAGTAAAAACACACGTAAGACACATCTTACACTTTCTTATGCTTAAATGGCTGCCAGGCGTCGCCTGAAATGTGGCCACACTTTATTTTTTAACAGAAGGCGCCCACTCAACCACGCTCCCGTTCTCTCCCACTCTGGCACTCGCAAATGTTTGTATGCGTTTATGTATTATTGTTTTATTTATGATTTCTATTGCTGCTAAGCTCGTTGCGAATTTACGATTTAACGCATTAGCATAAGCAAGTTTTTATGTGGCGAGACCAAAGCGCTAACCGTGTGCCCAAGTCAGGCAAGGACCCAAGGACATTTGTCATGTGGCGCATTTTATTATGCCAGAAATTGAAATTCATGCAGTCGCTTGCCCTACTCACTTACGACTGACAAATTCATGGACTGCCTTTTTAACCGAGAATTGTTGTCGTTTTGCTTGTCATACCCTCAACTTATTGAAAATGCGTTGAATGTTTTGTACAAGTGTATGGAAATGGTAAAAGGATGAGTTTATTTAGCCATGATTTCAATTTACTCTTCTAATTTTCCTGAAATCGATAAATATCGGTTTTAAGCATATTACTCGGAGACTATGTGTGCTAGGTACATAAAATTTGGTGTATTCACAGGTCCAAAATTTCTAACTTTTTGTATAGCTCTTCCATTTGCTTTATAATTAAAAAAAAAAAACAAATTAATTAATTAATATCCATTCTAATTGGTATAAACACACATTTAAATGTCAGCCTTAAGAGTTAAACATTTCCATCAGACTATAAGCACAGCAGTTATTAAAGCATGAATTTTGTATATAATCGGGACTGAGGAAAAGAGGGTATCAACCAGTCGTGCACACCCAACTCGAGCTCGCCTGCTCGCTGTTATAGCCATGGCTTTTGACGGCAGGTAAATGAGTACGTGACCAAAAGTTTGGTTGCTTTTCTATTTTCAACACTCGAACAGAATGACAGGATGTCTGTCAGCTGTCAGCTCCACAGAGAAGGCGCCCCCTTAATGCGACACATTAACTCAAAACTCAACTCTCATTCCAGTGTCGCGTCTTGCCTTGCTCAGTAGATCAATTACGGATTAGCTGTCAATTTCATTTGTGTGTCAAAAGTAATCCATGCCAAGCTTATATGTGAAATTGAAATACCCTACCCTGACGCCCTGCCCACTTGAACGTGTCCTTACACTTACAGCAGAGACGACTGGATTTTGAAGGAAAGGAAAAAACATTTTAAGCACTCGCACACCTGTATATTTTGAGGTCTGTGTGTGTGTTTGTGTCTGCTTTGAGTGGCAGTTACCTTGATAAAAGATAAGCAATTGCTGCCCAGCTGAGCTGCTCTGATTCTAGAGACAACCCGCAAAGCGTCTTAGTTCTGGATTTTTGCCAGCAGTGAGCTTAATATTGACTTACGGGCATTTGCTTCACACAATTGAAAACTATTTACAGAGATGTAGTAGAAAGTGGGACAGGTGGGGACGGAGGCTTAGACAGTTTGTGGCCAGAGGTAGCTGCCGAATGTTGCCCGGCCTTGACCAATTTGTCGTCATCATCATCGACATCCCCCACACAAAGAAAATCAAAAGGAAACCTCGACACAGCACAAAATCCAACTTAATTCCATGCTGACAATGAGACCTGCAGTTGCTCTCTGCTAAATGATGGACTCCTATTTAGGTCACTGGGCAATGAAACTGGATAAGCTGGGGCGTTAGGGAGCTGCCTGTCTGATAAGGTAAACAAACATTGATGAGCTAGTTAACTAAGATAATTACTTGCCACTGGCAGCTATCTTTCAATTAAATGAATTTATTTATGAATCAGTCACGAAATTGCAAGTGGAATTTATTAATAGGAAAAATCCTTCAGGGATTACAATCAGCACTTCGAGTGGGATGAAACTTTAGGCGAACAATTATCCAAAAAGCTTATCAAATTAGAAAAAACTAAAACTATTGCCAGGTACAAGATGTTTGTTTAAAATCTTAAACACGCATTTTCACGAATTTTCCGACTGATTGGACTCTCTTGAGCTTGACGTCGGAAGTTTTAAATATTTGAATATTTATGTTTTAATATTTCTCAAATTAAGAACCAAAAGTTGGCATCAACGTATTCTCCCATTTGTAACCCTCGGTGTGAAGCTTAAAACGAAAGAAGGGTTGATTTTGTGAAATGTGTAAAACACGTCTCAAATGAATTATCGAAAAAATCTTTAAAATCGAGTTAGAAGCCGATCGGACAAAAAAGTTTCACAAAAACATTTTGGGCAATTTCCCACAATTGCTAGAGGAATTTTCACAAAGGAATTTTCTCAGTCTTGGCGCCCTTAACACGCTTCGAAAAATACACTCGTCTAGGATTCGAACCAGCATCCTTTGCGCACTTCCCTTTCCATTAACTAACCTTGTACTTGCCAGTAACTTTTATAACCTCAAATTTTTCAAGGTTATCAGAAACATTTAAGAGTTTTCAGACTGAATCCAAGAAATCGAAATCCAATAAGAAAGTTTAGCAGAAGCCAAGAATCAGAAGGATGCTCGGAATACCTGGAATAGTTAAGTATTATTGTGTAAATGCTGTCTATATATGAAATGCTTACTCGTTACCGCGTTCAATTGTTTTACGCCCATTAACAGTGAAGCTCACATTTCATAATTTGCAGTTGAGTTTAGAGAATCGCTTTCAATTAACTGGAATTACTCTGCTGATGAAATGTTAGAGCTGTGGACCGCTGACTAATTGCCAGAGTAGAATCGATGCGCATCGAGTCCTTTGACCTATTTAATATGGCTGCCACCTTGCACAAAAGCGCCGCGCAATGTAATTGACATTCGCTATATGAGGCTGATGCCGGGTATTGAGTTAATTGAATGGCATGCCACTTTCATATATACCCTTACCGACCTTATCCGACGGCTGACGGCCTTTGGCTGTCATTTTCAGTTTGAATCTGGCTTTGGGTCTGGCTCCGACTCTTGTTAGTCATTTGCAGGGGTTACGCCCAGCGAGCAGGCCACAAATGGGACAGACAGTCGCATAAATTGCGCAATATGACATTAAACTCAATCATTTTGCAGCATTGGGGCTTGCCACACACACACACACAAATACCCACACACATACACCTCTCAGTGTAGGCCAGGAATTGTTTGGCGTCACGTGCAGTTGATTTATTTGCCATTACGCTGAGCGCGAACAAATTGTGGTCAGCGGCTTGGCGGAAAACAAAGAAAGGATGCCACAATTAAACTACAATTTGCAGAGAGAGGCGAGTTGGGCGGCTCAAAAAAAGGCGGAGGGTGTTTGTACAGTCGACAGTCGGGCCAACAAAGGATCCGGAAAACGCACACAAGCGCAAAATGCGAAATCGTTTGACGTTTGTCTTTTGGCTGGGAAAACTTGTCAAGCAGCGAGGCATGAAAATACGTGCTTTTATTAAGGAAATCACGCACATGCGTTCAGTCCACGCCGTTCTGATAGCTACTTTAAAGCTGCACGGATTGGCTCAGGTAAATGCTTAGGCGCTGTTTTGCATAATTTTCTTTTTGGCCCGCGTAGTTAAGCATTTTTTCCATTACCCATAACGACAACAAGGGAGAAAGGTGAGCGTGCTCGAGACTTGTCCTTGCGCATACCCTGTATACAGGTACTTAATTTATAATTAAGTGTGCACAAAGTAAATATTTACAGCAAATAATTCCGATTCGCAGGCTTCATTTATAAAGCAGAAGAAAATAATGGGCTTCGAACCCCATTACACACACTAAACCACATAGCAACAGATGTAGTCTGTGACTAAAGCTAAGCTTTAATAATATGATCAAAAAAGGAGATAAACTGTTAAGTTTTTGATGAGCCAGTCGCTGAATAAAGAAGAAGTTAATGGGCTGTAGTGTCCGCTGGTTTTCAAGAGTTTTAAAATAATATTAAATATAGGCCTAATATTAATAATAATAGACATAATAATAAATAATAGTGATGATAAAAATAATAGTGAAATTAATAATAATTATAATATATTTATTTTTATTTTTTTAACTCCAGTTCTTCAGATCTTAGAATTCGATGTGCTCATACACATGTGGAAGGCTGGATTGCTAACATATTAAGACACAGCGTAGATCTTTATATGTACTTTATTATTTCTCGTCGCGCGATACAGAATGGCCCTCTATCGTCCGCGATAACGTTATATAGCCTGTAAATGTTTATGCTTATGTTACAGTGTGTGAATGAAACTGATTGATGTATGTATATATGTATATTTATGTTACTATGTGTGTTTATCCTGCTACACAAATATACGGAAAGACAGCACAACAAACAGACCAAAGGACACAGCAATATATATTATATATACAACTGCACATAGCCAATAT